AAAAAAAAAATGCCATATTGTCATTATAGCTCACAGTAACCTCAAACCCCTGGGCTCAAGCAATCCTCTTGCCTAAGCCTCCTGAGCAGCTGGGACTACAGGTGTCTTCCACCACACCCAGCTAATTTTTCTATTTTTAGTAGAGATGAGGTTTCTCTCTAACTCCGGCTAGTCTCAAACTCCTGAGCTCAAGCAGTCCAGCTGCCTTTGGCCTCCCAGAGTGCTAGGATTACAAGAGTGAGCAACCACGCCCAGCCAGCAAACATTTTCTGACAAACATGTTCTGAATGGTTTTATATTAAAGAGTTCTGCCTAATTTACAGATCTTCAAAACTCACCAATATAATGACTTCAGCCAGTTAGTATGGGTTGAATTGTATACTCCATGAAGTTCATATGTTGAAGTCCTAGCCACCCAGCACCTCAGAATGTGACTGTATTTGAAGATAGGGCCTTTAATGAGATAATTAAGTGAAAAGCCAGCTGTTAGAAAGAGCCCTAATCCAATATGACTGGTGTAAGAAGAGGAGGTTATGACAGAAAAAACATAGAGAGAGGGATGACCATGGAAGCAAGAAGGCGGCCATCTGCAGAACAAGAAGAGAGGCCTCAAAAGAAACCAAACCTGCTGACACCCTCATCTCAGACTTCTACCCTCTAGCATTGTGAGAAAATAAATTTCTGTTGTTTAAGCTAGCCCATCTTTGGTGTGGTATCAAGGCAGCCATTAGAAAAGTAATATATAAGTATTTGTGCATACAAATGTATTTATAGAAGCAAATGCTTTAATTTAGTCAATATCTAGTAATCACCTTGGAGTTACTATTGGATTATGTTCCTTAACACAAAGCTACAACTTTACAAAGTGTGCAAGAGACCAATATGAAAAACTGGTTACGATGCACAGCAACATGACAAAGCTCTACGAGAATCTTGGAGAATACTTCATTTTTGACCCTAAGACAGTGAGCATCGAAGAGTTTTTTGGTGATCTCAGCAACTTCCGAACTCTGTTTCTGGTGAGTAATGCATCTTGAAGCATTTCAAGGTTTGCTGCTTTTATTTTTAAATGTCTTCTATTGTCATTTTATGTGCCTATTGACTGTATTGATTTCATGTTATAGTACATTAACTAGAATTGACAGATATTTTATACCTTTAATATGGCTAAAAATTATAAGCCATGGCTGGCTTAGCATATAATGAGGACCTAAATGAATTATCTTCAGTATTAGGTATACATGGGAAATATTCTATTGAAATTTTATAGGAAATGAATGGATTGGTACTTAAATGACCCTGATTTTTATATAGCATAATGTAATTTCACCAAGTTCAAAAATTGATATCTAAAATCATCTTTTACTGAATACATTAAAATGCTGTGGTTTATGAACAATTATTTTTCCTGGCCTAAATGAGAAACTGATTCTGAATTGAGCTATGTAAATTACCTCAAATACCTAAAGTTTCTTTTATGATGTGGCCTCTTGTTTTAGACTGTAACTCTTGGGGACAACAGTAAATAACAGCATAATTGGGGATGGGCAATTAGGGTACAAGTTATGACACTAGAAGGAATCAAAGGCATTGCTGTATCTATGCTGTGGAAATGCATCTTCTCTGCATCCTACAAAGGAGCACATAGACTGTGAAGTAACAGAAAGGTATGTATAATAGTTGATATCAAACAGGCAAAAGGTTCATATATTTGAAACAAAGAACTCCCGCAAAATCCCCAGAAGCAAGACCAGTTAGCAAACAAATTTCTTGAAGCTTGAGGTGTGTTTCTATCCCCAAAGCAGTGATTTGTTACATAAGACTCCCTCTCTTAATCAATGCTATTGTCCCATGAAATCATGTGATTTTAATGTGACTTGTACAATCTGTGAGATAGGAATATGCTGTGGAAGTCAAATTGCTTTCAGCTACTAACCCAGGAAATATAACCCAGAGCACACCCCAGCAGTTAAATAAGGAGCTTTGGAAAGAGAAACTAAATCAGAAACTTTCAGGTGGGGGAGGATGATTGGCAGAAGGAGGGAAGGCATGTGGCGGGAGCTCACCTAATGTGCACATTGTGAGGGTGTACAACACGCTCCCTGGGTGGGAGACTCTTTTGCAAATGGAACTTTACACTGGAAGTGAAAACAATGTAACCTAAATATTTGTACCCTCATATTAATTTGAAATACAAAACAAATTTTAAAAACACTTTCATCAATATGAATACCCATTTCTTTTTTGCTAAAAATATCAGCTGATTTAGGTCTTTTTCTGTTGTTTTTGTTGTTGTTGTTGTTGTTGTTGTTGTTTTTTGAGACAGAGTCTCACTATGTCACCCTCAGTAGAGTACTGTGGCATCACAGCTCACAGCAACCTCCAACTCTTGGGCTTGATTCTCTTGCCTCAGCCTCCCAAGTAGCTTGGGACTATAGGCATCCGCCACAATGCCCAGCTATGATTTAGGTCTTTTCCCCATCATAGAGACACATATTTGACTTTTTAGCTGACCAATAATAAGCAGAATATGTTCTTCTGGCAATGAGAAGAGGTAAGCTCTCACCTAATGGGCACAAGGTAGGGGTATATGGCACATCTCCTGGGTGAGGGGCCCAATTACAACTTGGACTTTACCTAACAAATGCGAACAGTGTATCCTAATTGTACCCTCATATTAATCTGAAATCAAAAAAAACTTAAAAGCTGCAAATATGATATGAACACATAAACACCCTGGTTATATCTACTTGGATTATATTTATTAAAAACTATATTAAAAAAGAATGGAGACCAGGAAATATACTTCAGTTGACACACTGAAATGATAAATTCAATAAATTATTTCTGTAACAACAATACCTATGAGTAAATGGAGATATAAAAATAAATATAATTAATATTGTCGATCTCCATGGAAAAGTATCTTGTTTTAACACATGTTGAATCTTAAAAGACTGTCACATTATATGCTCCCTCACCTTCCCAATACACAGGCACAGAGTAACAGATGGTGTACTTCTCCCCTTTTGCAGCATTCTTTTAAAGATGATTTCTGTGTTACAATTATATGTAGTCATGTTAGCTAGATGCTTAGAAGACTTACTAAGAACTAGACTTGTATTACTTCTCAATCATAACTTGTTTTAAAAAATGTAATGATGTTCCAGCCACGTACACCTAAGGTGGCGGGTTCGAATCCCCAGCCCGGACCCGCCAAAACAACAATGATGGCTGCAACCAAAAAATAGCCGGGCGTTGTGGCGGGCGCCTGTGGTCCCAGGTACTTGGGAGGCGGAGGCAAGAGACTCGCTTGAGCCCAGGAGTTGGAGGTTGCTGTGAGCTGTAATGCCACGGCATTCTACCCAGGGGGACAGCTTGAGGCTCTGTCTCAAAAAAAAAAAAAAAAAAAATGTAATGATGTTAAGAAGACCTGATTCAGCATCCTAGTGGCCACCACTAACAAGCTAAGTGACTTTGAGTAGTCATTTATCCTCATTTATCTTTTCCAGCTATCTATTTCTTCTTTTTTCTTTTCTTTCCTTTCCATCCCATTCTTTTCCTTTCTTCCTTCCTTCTCTCTCTTCCTCTGCATTTCTTTCTCTCTCTTTCCTTCCCGCTCTCTCCCTCTGTCTTTCTCTTTTTTTCTTTTCTTTTCCTTCCCTCCCTCCTTCCTTCCTTACCTCTTTCTTCTCCTCCCTCCCTTCGTTCCTTCTTTCCTCTTTCTGTAAAACAAAAGGGTTAGAGTACTGATCTCTAAGAATTTACTCCTCTTCAGTAGTTGCAGTCCTGGTCAGGATGTCAGAGATGGGAGATTCATAAGTATTACATAGACATATATAGGATATGTTTTATGTCTTTTTTCTCTCTACTGACTTTATTGTCTATGTAGCTTGAGTACAGATAAAGAATTTGTCACATATCATTTTCATTATAAATAATTTGAAATTCTTATGTCCAGTTTCATGTGCATTTAATTTCCTGAGGAGCAATTAAGATGGAATTTCAAAAGCAAGTAACCAGATCCTACATTTTGTCAAACAATCCAAAATACTTAATGCAGTCCTAGCCAGCCATTGCCCTCCTTGCCTTACAAAACACTACTGCTACCACTTCTATCTACAAATTGTTATCAGCTTGCTGGCATGAGAACTAGGTGTGTAGCTTATTAGCGGTTTTGACTTGGGTTGGTTATGTAACCTCTCTGGGCATTGGTTTCCTTAACTATAAAATTTGGATAATAATTTTAGCCATGCCTTCCTCACCACAATGTGGAAAGACCTTGAAACCTATGCTATGCAGATATAGAGTATTATTAGCCATTCTCTGACCATCCTTTCAATTATTTAAAATCGAACTTGATTTTGGTAATGCTCTGGTCCAGAGATAAAAGGAAGAGAATGGTCTCTCCCTACCTATGGGTAGACTGAGATAAATAAATGCAATGTGATTTGATAAGTCCTGCCACAGAACTATATTAAGGTGCGGTAATAACACAAAGGTGGAACTGCCTAACTCTGCCTACACCGGCCATAGAAGCTTTTGTGAAAAAGTGACATTTGGGCAGAATCTGGAAAAATCCATAGGAGTTTGACAAGGAGACTTTGATCAGCAAGTTTAAGGATTTTACACCTGACCTTTAAGCCGAAGACTCCTAAATCAACATCACCAACTTCAGTCAATCATTTGTGCTCCCCATGTTCTTGTTTCATAGTGAGCTTAAAGTGATTTCACTCTCCCAGGGGAGGGAAGAACCCTGAAAAAGAGACAAAAATTGTAATCGCCAGAAGTTCCCATTTTCTTAGTGCTTTGTGTATTTGGCCTCAGGGTTCTTAGCGCTAAAAGCATATTGGACTATAGATGGAAGCAATAAAATACCAGTAGTGCTGAGAAGAAAATAAGAGTTCTGATTCATGTGCTACCAAAAATTACTTCCAAATGAGCTCAGAGTTTCATCTTGGGAGATCTATTTGGCATGTGTAGCATAAACAAAATGCACATACTAAAAAAACCTTCCTCAGAAAGAGATAGCCTCTAAAGGATAGGACAAACAGAAATAAACAAGAGGTTGACATTATGGATTAAGATCTTTTTTAAAAGAATCACATTCAAATGCATGAAAGCAGAATTGGGTAATCTCTAGGAGATAACTGCTCTATTCATTATTAATATCAATCTTATTATATATCACTCATTTCATGGAGATATGAAAGGTATTCGAAGCGAATGTCTAATACATTGGTATGGAGATATAGAATTAGAAGCATTTTTAAATCCAAAATTAAGACTGGTCTTTCTAGTTACTTTCTCAGAGATTGCATGAGAGTTTAAAGAACTGATAGAATATAGGCAAGATGAATTAATAACCCCTAAGTTTAAGTTGACTGTGATGGGGAAGAAAATCAAATTCCATATATATGCAATGTCTAAACATCTTTTTTGCTTATTCTCCTTTATGCTTCAGTCCTTCGACGAGTTCAAATAGTTGACTGCACAAATAGTCTTTTTTCTTTTGAGATATTTTGAATAGAATATTCAAAATCAGTGAACCTTATATGTTTCACCACCATGCAGTATCTTGCTTAGGCATAAAAATTAATTTTAGCTGTTGGGAAAGTGTTTGAGGCAAGTATTATACTTCAATAACTTTCACAGCTCCAAATAAATTATAGAAAACACTTCTTTTCTCTTTTAAATCTGTCAGTTTCCTGCTGCTTCTGTGTGTTTTTGTTTTGTTTTTTTAAGGAACAATATGTTACCCAGGCACTCAATAAATATTTGTTGTGCCTGTGTCCTCATTCTGTACCTCATACCCTAGAAATATAGGAATCAGGCTTTTTAGAATTATTAGACTCGTTGACATAACTTAAAAAGAAAAATATTACATTACCATTAATCATTCTAGCAGAATTCCCCTCAACAAAATAAGGATGTGCTAGTGTTCATTTGATGGATAAACTTTGAAACAGCTTTTAGATGAGCGTTAAAATGGCTAATTGTTAAGAGGCTAAGTGATCTT